ATAATTTGCCTCATATAAGTTCCATTTTGACTATGACTTTGACAATTTCACATTTGACTTTGAAATAAAATCTTGACTTTTAATTTGTAGAAAATGGGATGTAACAACAATTCTTGCAGAAGGATGTGGAGGAGGTATTGATGAGCTTGTTAGGGAGGATCCTTAATGATTTCAGGCTCTATTTTCGTAAAGGGATGATTTATAGTTTGTTGGATAGGAATGAAGAGGCCACAGAGCAGTTCTCAAAGTATCCTAAGCTTTCACCGAAGAAATTTGGAGTAGAAGGATATTTGAGAAATCCATCGTCGAGGATGAAGCTTTTCGGAACTGATGAGGGGAACTCAATTTGATTTTAGATACTTTTTTTTTTATGAAAACAAGAATCTGTTTCTTGCTTTGTACAAATTAATTATGCAACACAACACTCACAGTTCAGGTTGGGTTCTCAAACTGGGTTCAGATTTTTCGAGTAATAATGTCAATCATGACTTTCACCCTTGGAAATATTGTTACATTTATATAAATGGTACTAGTCTTTCATGTGATCATGTGAATTTTGTTTTCTTACTTATATCGAAAGATGATTTTCCTGTAGGTGTAACTAATAATTCATATTAGGATTAAACTACAGAAAAACAACAATCTTGGAAGACTTGAATATGTCGATTCAAACAATCTCTATAAAAGATTAGAACAATTAGGTTATATTATTTTCCAGGGATATGCTAAAGTAGGCACTGAAAGTTTGTAAAGCAATGCAGGGCTATTTTGCTGGATGGAGTTGAGGAGACTCCTTAAAGAACCAACATTTGATGTCGAAATGGAGTTATGGCATTTAATTAATGAAGGCAAGCTTAACGTTTCACCAGGAACGCCTCGTTCAATTGCTCCAAGCCAGGTTGGTTCAGGGTGTGCTTCGTGAACATGGACAATGAAAACTTGAGAATTGCACTGGGGAGGATCCACAAATTTGTGATTCAGAAAACCGGATTGGATCACCCAACAACAAGAAAACAATACAAGAGAAGCAAACAAGAAATCAGCTTATCGCTTCATAGATTGGATGAATTCACGATGACTCCATGAATGTTGTCGTCTCCTTAATCTACGACTTCACCCCTTGTTCGTGCACGGACGAGAACAAAAATTATCGCATTCCACATGCCATTTTCATATCAAAGAAGCGAACGATAAGGCTTCTGTAGTCTTCTCCAGTGACAAATATATAGATTTAACTTATGTTTTTAACACCATGCTTGCAAAAATAACAAGTTTCATTAATTCTTTCGAATAAATTTATTATGTTTTCTCTCATTTGATGGATGTAAGTTGCATCAACGGGGGTATATTAGGATTTACTCATTTTTTATTTATTTTTTGTGTCTTCCTTTGTTCTTCATGAAAAGGAAGCTGTTTTTGAATATATAAAAGTTCTATTGATTAATGCAAATAAAGTCATCAAATACAAGTATTCATTGTTGAAATAACATCTACAATATCTGCATTGTACTTTGAAAGTTAATAGATCGACCCTAAAATCACCTAATATGTGAATATTGCTGATTTAGTTCCTACAATCTCTAAAACCCGATGGAACTGCTTCACTCATACCTGCTCACAATTTTCTGGAATTCCATCTCCTGTAGATCACGAAGAACACTTTGTTCTTGTACTTTTCATATGCTTTTGGTTCAACATCCTTTAAATTTTAGCAATGTCTGAAAACTATTGAGAAAATACAGTTCTGATTATATCTAGAAAGTGGGTGTTTTGGATTATTTGAATTCGAGATTTTTCCTAACATGTGGTTGATTAATCTCAATAATTACAGATTTAATCTCAAAGCTTGGATGCGTTTTTGGATTTTGGATTGATGTTATGAAGATATAAAATATTGATCAACCACCCACAAAAACATACTGAACATTGGGTATTTATACTAAGAGGTATTTAGGTAATATAGGATAAATAAAACTTTTGAAAAATGCGAACTAGGGTTTTACGCATAACAGCATCGCTCGAGTGTCAGGCTAGCGACAGCAAGCGAGAGGTGCGTCGGTCGAGCAATAGGCGGGAGACAAGAGAGTGAAAATGATTCTACTTTGTTCGCTCAATCATCTGTTGGGCAACAAACTTGCATAAATCTGGCGACTCTTTTTCCTTATTCCATACTTGAACCCAAAGACTTCTACTTCATCTATGCAACCCTTCAAAAAACTCATTGACTTTTACAACTCTTTTATAATAATCCTATTCTTTTATAGTAATTTATTTGTCAATGTAACATAAATCCTAACAAACTTTCAATTTTGTATTTTGTGACAAAATTATGCAATACAAATCAAGGATGTAAAAACAAACT